CACCATAATGTCAAAAAAGAGCATTGGGAGCTGGGCACTGCCATGGGGAACATTTAACAAATCAATACTACTTTCAAGGCATCATGGAAACAAAATACCAATTCTTTAACCACTTGCCGTCCGCCCGTTGTAAAAAAACGGACGGACGGCACTGCAGCATTGGCGGGTTGCCGTTGCCAGACGGCATTTTTTTTCTGCTCGCGCGCGCCCCCTGGCGGGCTCGCACGAGCAGGAAAGACCCGACCAATGCAAACACCCGTTACTGGGTGTTTCACATATAGGCGATCAGCGGCTCCATAGCCCGCCGATCGTCTATATGTGCTCGTTTCCACCGCCCCCCGCGCCGCCGCCGGTTTCCCCCCCGACCCCTCACCTTGAATCCCGAGATGAAGCAGATTGACTAATGAGGCAAAAACAAACAAACATTAGAGTACATTATCTCAGAGTCAATAGCCAGAAGAACTTTTGAGTGCAAGAGCACCAGAATACCCTGTTGACCTTGAGGTGCAGTGCAAATATTACCCTGCAGCAAACATTAGAAACTTGTCAGCTGAGTTCCAGCAACAAAATAAAAAAATTGTGTGGCACCTTTGCAGTGCTGCAGCACTGGAATAGGCTAGGAGTGGTGGCAGATAACCGTGGCATGAATCACTTTTTTTGGTGTGGGGGAGCATCCACAGGCAGTCTGCCACCTCATCATCCACCACATAACTGGAAACCGCTTGGCAATAAGCTCCAGCTGCTGAAACATCACTGCCTCTTGCTGCTCCCTTCCTAATCTCCCCAACCTCTGTGGTCCTGGTACTTTTATTCAGGATTAGTAGAAGAGGAGGAGGGAGCATAAGCAGCAGTTGCAGACAACTTTGTGGTGTGATGTGGCTGCAGTGGCGAAACCATTATATCACCATTATATAGCCCCCCCAACCGCCCCCCCAACGGTCTCTAATGTTGCAGCAGCGTGCTGGACTCTGGACTTACCTGAGACCCGGATAGCCCACCTAAGACTCTCTATGGTGGGTGGGCTCTGCAGGGCCCCAGTTGGGCTGGTCGTCAGGGTCCCTTTCCCTGTACCTCCTCATTTCAGGACATTTCAGGACCGATCAGCTGTATCAGGGCAGATCAGGTCTTCTGAACATACGATTTGCGATGCCGATCTGCCCTGGAACAGTTGAGAAAGCGTTGAAATGCTTGACCTAATGGCGGTCACACATTACACCTCCAAAAAAATGGGAGGGATTACGTTAAAATGTATGACCACGCAACCGGTCACACATTCTAACGTAGTCACAAACTTTGATAGAACAGAAGCCCTGTATGTAATAATTTAATCAGAGAAATAGATTATAATGTTCCCCATTTTAATCCCCTTTCCCAATTAAATGAAACAAAAGCACATAACCCTCCCCCGAAACCCCCCCCCTGCGGCTCTGACTGTGAGCACTGCACGTCTCCTCTCCCGCCGACTGTTACTAGGGACGCGGCCGGGAGAGGAGAACCCGCCCCCTTACTGAGTTGGCAGTGCGGGCCCCGGTGTTCTAACACCAGGACCCTGCACTGCCCCATAATTTCACGGTTATACACACGAGGGGCATACCCGTCCCATGTTACATGACATATAATCTACACGATATGAGATTACGTAAAGCAACCTCCTCAATTGTACCAGAAATATCAAACTTAAACATTCCAACGTTAAACATTCCAACATTCCCAAGCTGGTAACCCATTTTTTTAACCTAGCAAAAAATAAAATAAAAAAAGACTGTTGTGCCACTACACTCTCAACACAAGAATATGCAACCCACCATACCGCAATCTACAGTAATTTAGCACAATATTGCACTGTATAGCAACTTAATCTACCGACACAGGCTGTCAGCTCTCTCTCTAAATAACCTTTTGCAGTTTGGGGGCTGGCACATAACAAAGAACCCATTACTGACCCTTCTTAGCCAGCTGATCTAAGTTCAAAGTGGTTACAAAGAATTTGGCACAGCACAATTCATCATAACTTCCATTGGACAGTGAACCTCGAACATACAGTATTTGCCTCTAACCCTATTCTTACTTATTTATTACTTATTGTACCTGCACAAGTGCCTGTATTTATGTGTATTTAGGCTGCGTTCACACCTGACCGTTTTGTAGGGCGTTCTACGCTCGACGAACGCTCTACAAAACGGTCAAAAATATAAATTGCATTGTAGTCAATGCCCTCGTTCCCACCTCGCCGTATTTCCGCCCGTCCCTGACGCCCTACAAAACGGCCCACGCCTGAAAAGGTCCCGGGACTACTTTGGGCCGTTTTGTAGGGCGTTTTCCATTTGGATACTGCCAAGTAGCCTTTGGAATCGCGCGACGGTCGCGCAACTTTTTTACCGCGAATCGCGGTAAAAAAACGCGTGACGGTCGCGCGACAGACGTGCATATTACAATACGCCTAGGTGTGAGTGGGGCCTTAAGCAGGTCTTATTTTTCATACAAATAAGGTAATATTTATAATCCAAATATTTCAAAATCAAAGAATAATGTGCATACTAACACCAGTATTCACTTAATTGCACACATTCAGTGTTTAGGGATTCATGGTAAATGGTGTTTGTTAAATTCTGGTAAAGTGGGGTACAAACTGTATTCTATTGTTCTTTATCTTGAAATAAACATTAGAGCATATTAACTGAGAGACAATAGCCACAGGTGTTGAAGCACCTGATTAGGGAGCAAGCTTTGAGGCACAACGCAGGATTTACCCTGCAGCAAGCACTAGAAATTTGGTAACCAAGGTCTAGATGTGGATAAGCCAGGAGAGGTGGCAGAAGCTGGTAATGGTGGAATTTGTTTTTGGAGGTGGGCCGGGTAACAAATAAAAGCTGGCACCCATAGACGGTCTGCCACCCCATCATCCACCCCCTCCTTAGCACTGGAGCCAGCTGCTGGAACATCAGTGCCTCATGTTGCTCCCTGCTGGATTTCCCCTCTCGCTATGGTCCTGGCACTATTTTCCTCATCCTCAGTATCTAAAATGAGGAGTTCTTGTGCATGACCAAGATCATCGTCCTGCAGCAAGTCAGTGATAGTGTGATCAAATATCTACTGTGACTACTCATTGCCAGTTTGTGGAGCTATGGCAGGCTGTTTAGCATAAAAAGAGCATATGTGGCCTGCCTTTAGATGGTGCGGCCTGACACCGCTTTGTCCTGCATAGTCTGCTTGCTCCCTTTCTACCTCTGCATGCAGAACCTCTGCCTGTTACTTTAGGCCGGCCTGACATTTTAATAAATGGGGAATACCTTAATTTAATGACAGCTATGGCAATAGGGGAATAAATATGTGATATTTTGGTGCACACTGCTTTACTGCACAAATATGTGGTGACATGTGGTAAACAAAGGGCAGCCTTGGCTGTGTTAGTAACACGTGTACACTGTGCACTCTGAATTATAGTCCTTAATCTACCACCACCAAAGAAAATAAACCATGGAACACTAAGCAACAACCCATTTTCTTAACCTGGCAGAAAATAAACAAATGGATAAACCTGAAATAAAAGAAAATACAAAATCCAACAAAAAAAGACTGCAAGGCCCAGCAGCTACAATTGCTGGCACACACAAAAAGGTAGTCCTAAAAGGGCTGTTGGCCCCTGATCTCTGAACACAGGGTGTACATAAGACAAAATGTAGCCCACCCCACTGCAATCTACAGGAATTTATTTCAATATAGCACAGTAAAGCAATGAACTCCCCCTACATAGGCTGTAAACTACTCCAACACACACAGATAAATGGCTGCAGGGGAACCCACCCTATTTTAGTGAGGGCCTGACACATAACAACCCCCCACAGTTGGCCCCTCTAAGCCAGCTGACCCAAGTTCAAAGAAGCATTATGGTTAGAGAGAATTTTGCCTGGTGGGATACACCATCAATTCACCAAGAACCTCGAACATGCAGGATTTGCCTCAAACCCATGGTAGCGATGAAACTACACCTCACCTCTACTTATTTATGACCTACCTGCACAAACAAGTGCCTGCATTTATCTGTGTAGACGCAGGTCACATTTTTACTTATACACATGAGGTAATATTTATATAGCAAATGTGCCAAAATCAAAGAATAAGGAGCATACTAATGAATGAACGAGAACCTCATCCCCACTATGAATGTAAATAATTTACACAGCAAGCCCAGGCTGTGTACAGTTACAGAAATCTGCAGCTGCAGGGATTTTATGTGTTGGTACTCAAATGATTGATTTTTGTCCTAAGCTCAGCAGTCTCTTTCTGAGAATGTACACTGTAGTAGGTAGACGGCTGACATGAATCTCATTAGGAAGGAGCTAACCTGGCCAGAATATTGCATTCAGATATGACCCGCACCCAGAGTATTGATTGTGTTCCAAGAGCTTACCCAATGGAAAGGCAGTCATAATAATATTACAGCATGATATCGCAGTGCATCACAGATCCGCAGAGTGGAACGGAATGATTTCACAGCTAGGATGTGCCAGACGCCAGTGCACGCTTGCAACTTGCAAACATTTTGTTCAAATGATTGAAGTCTCATCCAGAGCTTGTTTATTAGAGGACTTACTGCATTCTAATGGATACATTTAATCCTTACTATACCTATCACATTCAGACACATCTCTCTTTTGTTTTCTTGGTATTCAGCAGCTTGAGTTAATGCAGCAAACATATGTTCTATTCATAAAATCATATAATAATACAAATATTAAATGCTAAAATGTGGGTTTTCTCACACACCAACTCAGAGAATATATATATATATATATATATGTGTGTGTGTGTTTGGAAATCATGCCACACATAGAAATCTCTGTGTAGTGCATTGTAGGTCCTTGTATATGTTGAACGGTATAGTCATGTGGTATATGAGTCTGGGAGTGTGTGTGACTGCTGCTGGCAGTGAGGGGGTTGACAGTCTGCAGTGCAGTAGAGTTAGTACACGGTAGCTCGGCTCCCTATATGGTTGTGGATTAGCTGTATGCTAATATTGCTAGGAGATGAGTCGCACAGCACGCTGAGCTGCCAGTGGAGGCAAGCAGAGTCTTAGCAGAGCTGACTCCTCAAGAGCCATGGCTGAAGGGGGCGAAGTGGAGGATGAGATACAATTCCTCCGCACTGTAAGTACTGCTTTCATTTCAAGTCACGTTTTGTTCCAGCATCTCCACTAGGTATATGCTTCATGTTTTCTGTTCACTGCAAAAGCAGCATTGTCTGCTCTATTCTCTTTTTTTTCCCTGCATGGTGTGTGGTAACGCAATGTGCAGAAGGGAAAATATTGCCGGCAATGCTATTTCATCCATTAAACTTGTCTGATACATAGAGGTAAATCTGAATTGGTTCTCATATCTCCCCAGAGAGACATAATACCATATCCCATTATCACTCAAAGCTTACCCTTTTCTGGTTTGCTGTGTGAAAAGCCTATGTGGTTTCCACTGAACTTTTATGTTTGCAAACCTATCTTTACGGAGTCAATCACTGCAGGCAAATTATGAGCATGGGTCTTTTTTATATATATGATGATCTTCCTGTTTGGTGTCTGTAGGAGAGCACAGCATGCAGTTTCATGTAGCAGGTGCTGCTCCTGCCGGTGTCAGATAGTTTGGCTGCAGATGAGGGAACCCTGTCTAATAATATCTAATATCCACACCACACAAGGCACATGACCTTTCCTCAAGACTCCTAGGAATCTTTTTTTTTTTTCTTTCCTTAGAAAGGACTGTGAATTAGACATTTGGTTTGAGGAGCTACATTTGTAATTATTAGTCAAGATAATTAGTCACGGCTGCCAGATTTTTTTTTGTTTGTTCTATGAGCCCGGCATAGCTGAAATGCCCATTTGTGTGAGCAAGATGTTCACAGAGATGTATGTGCGCCTCTGCAGAGAACCTTCCCTTCCTCACAAAGCACACACATCATGGCACGGCACGGCATTGTTATGGATAATGTCCTTAACCCCTGCGTGACACAACAATCCGCTCTTTGGAGGTGTTCAGAATCAGCTCTCTCACTTCTATTGTATGTATTGGGGATGATTATTAGAAATCTGATGTCTGTGTGGCTTCATTGTTCTAATGATGAAGTGTGTATCGTATAAGCGGAATTCCACGTTCTTTCATAGCATTTCCTGTGTCATGTGTACACACATGGCTGTTGTTATTACCATTGATACACTGCGTTTTACATCACACTCAGCTGTGCACTTCTTCAAGCCGCAAATCCTTTTTTGCATGATCTGCAAGCTTAGGGATGTAAATATGATACAGGAGGATCTTCATACTCAATGCCTGCAAATTCTCTCTCATGCTTTAGTCTTTTGACTAGTATTTTCTTGTAATATACGAGCCCTAATGAACCATTTCAATAGGATACCAAGCAAGCCTATCATGCTTGAGCAAAAGGGGGAGGGTAGGCTTGACTAGGATAGGACAGGCTGGTATGTATAGGTAGTAATATACTGCAGTAACATCTTTTGATATGTACAGGTTGTATTCCTGCCTTTGCGGCTAGTATGTTTTTTTTCTTTATTCAAAGTAATAAGCTCCACAACTAAAGTGCTTGAAAAGATGCTCATTGCATCTAACAAAATACTCTTGAGTATATTTTTGTGTTATTCCAATCAATACCTTCTGCACCTCCGATCCAACAGAATCTGAGGAATAAAATGTGTAACATTTTGAAATGTGTAAGACCATCTTCAGACGATTTCTATATCCATTACTACCCTATGAAATGTTTCAGATTTTAATCAAGACAAATATACTTGAACAGGAAACATCTCACATTATACATAAATGTTATCACTGTCTTTTCCGTTTCCTTTATTTCTTTATGTTCAGGTTGCTAGCTTTATCATATTAGCATGAAACTAGCAAACAGGTAATAGTATTAATACAAACAAAAAGCCTGCAGTGGCAGCCCTCATATTTCTGTCATGGCAAGTTCATTTTAAAATGCCCACCACAATGGAATCTAAATGTTTCTGAACAGTTAGACCCTCAGGAAATTGCTTTTTTTAATCAAGATGCACATCTACTGGTAAGTGAATGTTAGGCAAGCTCTCTCCTAACTCCCAATAGGTATTGTGGTCCAGGAGGATGTCAGCTAATCTATGTTCAGTCAATAAAGTACAGTAACAAGTAGGCTGAAGTTTTCCAATCAGCTAGAATGCTTATCTGTCAAGATTCTACTCATGCAGTGGAATACATGTTGAGGTTGTATACAAAATAGTTTGTCAGTTTAGTTTTATTTGCACATTAGATCTCTTTCAAAGCAACTCTAACTTTAACTAAGTTGCTAAAAAAAAAGGTGTCCTTGTAAAAGAATAAACTAAATACCTCTTCTGCTGCCCAAGCCACTTATCGCTGCTCCATTGTAGAGAAGCCCTCTGCTGAAATTTCTTCTGAAACTGACACTTTGGAGAGCATCAATCTGCTGTGTTCCCCACTGCGCCCAGTAAATTCTCCCTCTCCCTGTAATGGAGAGGGAGAATTTACCCCTCTCCCTGTAATGCCTTGTAAATTCTCCCTCTCCCTGTAATGCCTTGTAGTGACCTATGTGTCACTACAAGGCATTACAGTACTTATGTATAGGCTGGCAGGAGGAATCACTGAGAGCAACAGGGAACACAGCAAATTGACACTCCTGGAAGTGTCTGTTTCCGAAGACACTTCATCTGAGGGTTTCTCTACAACTCAGTGGCTCGAGCAGTGTATAAGGTAAGTATTTGCTTTATTCTTTTACAAGGACACCTTTATTCATAAACTTAGTTTAATTGACAGAATCACTTTAACTGCTTCCCGTCCAGTGGCCGTTCATAAATGGCCAGATGGGAGCCTTCTAAATGCAGGTGGGCGTTTTAAAAAGTCCTCCGCCCCCACTCGTGCGCCACTTACAACGCGCACACAGGTGGGAAAAATGCCTAAAATGTTCAAATGCAAACAGCCAGCGATAGGTGTTTAAATACAAGCTTTTGCCGTCTGTACAGACGCCCGATCGCTTGTATTTTTTGCAGCTTTGCGTGTCTTGAAAAAATGGAGAAAATTAGTTCAGTACAGCTTTGCATGACTGAATTAATGAAAAACACAATATTTAGAGTGCACTCCTGTAGAGCAGACACAACTCTGAAGGTTGACTACTGGTGGTGTGCGAAGCTCCTCACAACAGGGGGAGGGACCTTGTGTAACAACCCAAAAACAAAACACTTTATTGAGGAGCGGAACTACCTGAAATCACTTTGGTGAACACATGGGCTGAACACTGCTTGTACAGTAATGTTGGGACATGTATATGTCAAATACGAGTGTAGAACACCAACCTATAACTGGCCCTATAGGATAGAAAAGATGTTAACTTACAGTTAGGATGTGGGAAAATGTGCCCAAAAATCTCTCCCGGGGTTCGCTTCAGGATCTGTTGGTCGGGTCTTTCTAGATGGCAAGTGAGAGGTGAATGGCTGGAGAAGAGCTTGGCTAAATGGCTCGTTCCCTCCAATTGTCAATTTTCGGCTGGATTAAAGCAAGTATGTGATGGCGAGGCAGCCCACGTACTCGGCTGGCCAGGCCGGGCCGCGACGGCTGGGATGGGGAAAGTGTAAGGGGGAGAGCGAGGTGCCGCGGACAGCACTGAGGCGCCTGGTCCCGTGTGTATTAGCGATGCAGTCGGGCTGCTGTCTCGAGGTGTCCGGTACTCTCGTAGTCAGCGAAAGTCATGAAGGACTGAACGGGGGGTAGAAGTTCACGGTGGGTGGGTGGATGTCTACGCGTTTCGAGGAAATTTGGCTTGACAAAGAGGAATTTCCTCGAAACGCGTTGGTGTTCTACACTCGTATTTGACATATAGATGTCCCAATATTACTGTACAAGCAGTGTTCAGCCCATGTGTTCACCAAAGTGATTTCAGGTAGTTGCGCTCCTCAATAAAGTGTTTTGTTTATGACTGAATTAATGTCAGTCAAATTGACCTTTTATATTTTTCCAAAAAATTGGGTAATAATAAATTACTTTCTAACATAATAAAGGGAAAACAGTTTTAGTTCTAATTTTTGGTACTTATTTCTTTATATAGTAAAAAAAATAAAAACCCAAGTGGTGATTAAACACCACCAAAAGAAAGCTCCATTGGTCCCCCATAAATGGTATAAAATTAATTTCAGTACAGCGATGCATGACTGAATAAATGTCAGTCAAAGTACCGCAGCACTGAATACTGAAAAATGGCCTGGCCAGGAAGGGGTTTAACACCCCAGTCATCAAGTGGGTAATGTTAACTTTTTAGTTTTTTTTTCCCTTTTAAAAGTTATATGTAACGTGGCTCTGGTTAGGCTGCTCTCAAGTGATGAACAGACTGCTTGGGTATCCCATGAGTCCAGAAAAGTAGATGCATAAGATGGCCACATCTCTTAAGCCACCAAGGGATAAACAGTTAAAAAAAATCTATTTCATTATATCTATACAAAATAACAAGCCGGTATGTTGTGGGGACCAGGCTATACCCCCTTCAAAAAGGCTTAACATGCTGTGTAGGGTGGAAGGAAAGGACTCGACTTGAATTACATTTTCTGTGTTAATTGTTTATTTGCTGTTCGTAAAATGGTTTAAGGAGCTGATAGTAAATACTAACCACAGGCTCACATTTTGTTACCTGCTAATAAAGTGTATGTAACCCTTATTACCCATATCCCTTTAATAACTTCCCTTGTCAATAATAATTATTGTACTTGTGCTTCTCCTGAATAATTATGACCATGCTAAGCACAGAAGAAGATCTGTGTTAACGTGGTCAGCTTGCATCTCATAGCTTCTCATCTGAGCTACAGAATGCTGTGCCTACACACGGGCTTGCTTGTAGCTCCGAGATCAGTCTGTCTGACACTCCCCCTGCCCAACCCACCTTGCCTTGATTGAGAGTCCTGCAGGTTGATGTCCTGCACGCTGTTCATCAGCCTGACCATCCCCCTGCTCAAACCACCTTACATTTATTGACAACCTGCCCTGTAAAAAAAGTTTGAAAGAGAGACAGTAGGAGCAACAAAATTCAGGACAAAATCTCCTGTAAAAACAAAGTGTCAGATTTGCTGACACTCCCCTTTCCCGGCCCACCTTGTCTTTATTTAATA